GACTGAGAGATGCCTGCAGCTATTCAGGCTCGGCACAGGTGGACAGAAACCACTTAGGCCCCGGCTCAGCTGACCTCTTAGCTGACTCCAGCCTCAGCCACACCTGACTGCAGGCACGCGAGGGGCCGACGGGAGCACGGATGGCAGAGCCACAGACTTGGCTTTGGAGAGACAGCACGCTTTGGAGTGGCGGTGTCGTAGCAGTGGAAAGCCTGAATGAGAATAAGGCCAGGAGGGGCCGTGCACGTTGTGTCTTGGTTTCTCCGATGTAAAACACAGTAGGTTTAGCAGTCAGACCAAGAGACTTTTAGCAGAGTTGTCTCAATTGCTAGGCACCTTTTCTTTGAATCTTTGTGTCTCATACAGACTTTTTCTGTCTTGAACGATTTTCAGAGACTGCAGACAGAGCGCTGTGGTCACAAAGGTCTTTCAAGTGGACTGTGTACCACCAGACACAGTCGCTTCAGAAGACAGCGTTGAAAATGCTCTCAAAGAGGCTTCGAAGCAGGCGAGTAATGAGACCGTAACTCACCCGGATCATCACCACATTCTTGGTCCCTCTTCGCAGTGGTCACATCTTCCCCTTCGTTTACACCATCATCATTCTGTGCATAGTCGGGTCCTTGTAGTTTCAGTCAGTATCAACCACCACCGAGTCTCTTCGCTGATTCCCACGCTTTGGCCAGTGCCCCCTCGCCCTGCCCATTAGACGTTCCCAGCAAGCGTCCGTGTCCACAGCCCTGTGTCCTCAGTGACTCCCCTCGGCCACCAAAGGGCCTGGCATCCCAAGTGGTCAGTTCTGGCCTCAGGCATCCCCTCCTGCTTTGTGACTCCCCTGTTTGTATTCTGTGCGCACTGTGTGCTCTCACTGCTCCCCCAGGCCCAGGCCTTCTCCTCTTATAAAAGGGCTTTGGTTATGTGAATGCTTTCTCCATGTGTAAGCTCCAAGGTGGCAGAGAGCGTGTCTGGCTCACTCAGTGTCTTGCACGGGGGCAGGTAGGAGAGGGCGGTGGGTGTACGTTTGTTGAATAGAAACATCAGACCAGTGGAAGCCCTCAGTGGGCATGGCCTTCATCCCCAGATAGCTGCAAAGCCTCACCTCTTTGGAGCACGAACTAGACCTATCCAGAAAGGACATTAGAAACTAGTCCTTGGGTTCTGGGCATCAGTGAGACAGGTCTCAGGTCCAGAGGACAGGCCAGCCCATGGTAAGTCATCCAACCAAAATTTCTCAGTCTGGAGGTCTTGTAGGGGGTGACAGGAAATTTTGGGGGGAGTCCCTTCAGCCCAGTGGTGGACTGGAGGCCAGAGAGGAGGCTGTGGGAGCAAAGCAGTGGGTGCAGGAGTTGTGTGGGCCACGTGTGATCAGGGCAGGGACAGCCAGCAGGGGCTGAGCCCGCATGCACCAGCAGGTGCTCAGGCTTGAATCAAGCATAAGGGCCTGAGTCCAAGGAGAAGAAAGTCCAGAGAAAAGCATGTTTATGTTTCAGGACCGTGGGTGGGCAGGTAGTGGACACGGGTCCCATCTTGGCCTGACCCCGCCCTGTCTTTGCCCCCTGGGTTGGGTGGCCCCCGCCATTACTCTGACTCCCATGATCGCCACATCCTGCCTGCATGGGCTGCTCCCTGCCTCTGGCCCTGGCCACTTGACCTGGTGGGGCCACCCAGGCACACATGCTGCCAACCAGGCAGCCCAGGTTCAAAGCTGTGTGCTTCCAGAGAAAGGTGAGAACAGAGTTCACTTTGTGAAAATGACTGTAAACACTTTCAAATCGGAAGCACAGGCTACGTCACTGTCTCTACCTAGTAACTTTTATGTTTCGTATCTAAATGGACAGAATCAAGTGGTGGATATGTAATCTCTTCATCCGCAGGAACTGAAGAATGGATTTGTTGAACCAAAACTGAGGAAGAAATATAAGAATGCCGAAAACAAACTGGATTGGAATGTTAACCTTAGAAAGTTTCCAGGTACGACACGACTGGACTGAGATAAGGTTTCATATTCTAAGCCCCCAGCCAGGTCACTGCTTGTTTTTTACCTGAGGAAGGGTTGGGTTAGAAACACTGGAACTGGAAAGTAAGCTGTAATTGGAGTTTCAGTGCTGTCCTAGATAACAGCTGAAGACCATGGGGGATATTCAAGCATCCAGCCAAGTCAGAGTTATCGACTCACTGCAGTGCAGGAGACCGCACAGCATGGGAGCCAGGGGGCATCTCATTAAACAGAGGCACAGAAAACAGTTACACGCAGGGTTTGGGGGAAGGTGGTGTTTAGGTGAAACTGAAATGAAAGCAGAGTTTTGATAGGCTCCAGCGAAGCGGGGCTCGGTGGGAAGTAGTCACTATGAGGTGTGGACTGTGAAGGGGACCTGGGCTCTGTTACCTTGGAAACGACAGAGATGAGTGTGGAGTGCCGTGCTCAGACCCCGTTCTCGGAAGCTCTGCACCGCCGTTGGAAGTTGAAGCTCTTTTCCATGTCAGGGCGACTCGGGTCCTCTAGGCAAGAGTTAGAAGCTTCATTCTGACGTGATTTCAGACAGCAAAAGTTTCTGATAATCTGATTTTAGAGAACAAGGTTTCTTGGCAAGTAAAAAACAGCAGTCACTCAGAGTGGGGGCTGTTCTGAGGTGTTACAGCTGCAGGGTGACCGTGGGAGAACGCACGTTTCCCGCTAACCTTGCAGCGGGATTTATCTGTCTCCCCAGCCTGGTTTGGGATGTTGTGGACTGTTGCAGGGCAGTTTTTAATTTTCTCAGCGTGGGAAAATTCTTTTCTTTCTCAATGTTAATTCAACTGAGTGGGAGCTTCTTTAGATAATTACTACTTTAGGGAAAGCATGTGATGACAGTGGTCCCTTATTAAAAGATTTCCAGCTATGAAGACATATTTGCATGAAGACGCATATAATTACGGATATTCACGAAACAATGTTTTTGATGTAATTTTAGACGTGGGTGAAAGATCTGACCCCAAAACTTTGAGAGATCTTCGCTTCTCAGAGAGCCCATGGGAAGCCCCAGCCTTCCGCGAAGAATCAGCCTCTAGGCCACCCACCCACCAGGCCCAGGTAACTTCTAAGGAAAATCTTTAGGGCACTGAACACCTGCTGTGTTGGTAATGCTTCCCATGAAATACTTACTTCAGGGAGTGTCCCCCTGCCTTTTTACCACACGCCAGCACTGTTGCAGAGCTAGGATTACCTGTTTGGACAAGAAAGGGTCCTGTACTGATGGAGCTAAAATTTATTGGGGGTGGGGGCAGGCAGATAGTAAACATGTGAATAATCAAATAAAAAATTAACAGTAGCAATGGGTTCTGAACGTGATAGAATTGGGTAATGAGAGAGAACGGTGATTCTCAAAGCCGGGCCCCCGGACCGCTAGCCTCAGCACCACAAAGGGGCTCATTAGAAGTGCAGATCCTCAGGCCCCACCCCCGGCCTCCTGAACTGGGGACTCTGGGGTGGGCTCCGTAATCTGTTTTAATTAGCCCCGCTTCTGATGTGCACTCACGTTTGAGAACCCCTGGGACAGAAAATGACCACAGAAGGACAGGATTCTGATTCAGGGGGTAAAAGAGGGCTCCCTCGAAGAAGTGATGTTCTAACAGAACCTTCAAGGTGAACAGGAGCCCGCCCCGCCGCGGTCTTGGCAGCAGGAACAGCAAGTACAGTGAAGTGAGGGGTCGCACGGAGGCTGGGGTGATGGGGCCTGGTGAGCAAGGTGGGAGGTGAGGTGGGAGAGGCAGCCGGGGCCGGGGCTCCGAGAGCTGGGGTTCTCTAGCGTGACCGCACACGAGAACCACCCGACGGCCTTCCAGCCAACACTGGGAACCCAGCCTCAGAAATTCTGATTGAGTTGGTCTGGTGTCAGGTTTGGGCATTCTTGTATTTTAATTAATTGATTAATTAAATCAAAGTATAGTCAGTTACAGTGTGTCAGTTTCTGGTGTACAGCACAGTGTCCCAGTCCTGCATATATGTATACATACATTCGTTTTCATATTCTTTTTCATTAAAGGTTTTTACAGGATATTGAATATAGTTCCCTGTGCTATACAGAAGAAATTTGGTTTTTCATCTATTTTTATATGTACTGGTTAACCTTTGCAAATCTCAAACTCACAAATGTATCCCTTCCCACCCCCTTTCCCCCGGTATTTTATCTTTTAATTCACTGAATAAATGATGCTAATTGGCAGGTGCGGTTGGGAATCACAGACACTGGGGTGAGTCTCAGTGTAAGGAGGTGAATTTTCTTCTGATTGTAAAGGAAGCCCATGTGGAGGGTAAGGCGTGATCTCATTTATGCTTGAAAGCTTTGTCTTTGGCCACAGTACAGAGATTCAGCTGTAGAGGAATAAGAGGAGTATCACTGATGAGGCTTTTGCTCCAGGTGAGAGATGAGGGTAGCTTGTATCAAGGTTGTAGACGTGGTGAGGATAGGAGACGGTGGGAATCCAGATATGTTTTGGAGGTAGGGCTGACAGGTTCGGCTGAGGGGGCAGATGGATGGGATGAAGGAAAGGAAGGGGCCAAGGATGACTCTCAGGGTTCTGGCCTGAGCATCTGGAGATGATGGTACCATTTATTGGGGGTGAGGAAGACCAGAGCGGAGCAGGAGCTCAGGGCCTCATTAGACATCCAGGTAGAGGTGCAGACGATTGGACATACAAGTTCCAACTCAGGGGAGAGGTCAGGGCTGGAGATACATATTTAGAAATATTTAATATATAGATGGTATTTAAAGCTTGGATCTAAATATGGCTTTCCAAGCATGTACAGAAAATGAAGAAAAGGAGGCACAAGACAAAATTCTTGACTTAGAGGTTGAGCAGAGGAGGAAGAACTTAAGAAGTAAGAAGAAAGCTAAAAAAAAAAACAGTGGTGCCATCGAAGCCAAGAGAAGACAGGGTTTCAAGGAGAAGGCAGTGGGTATCTATGCACATGTGGCTGAGAATTCAAACTGGACAAAAATGGGGATTAGCCCATTGGATCTGACAAGATGGAGGTGACTTACGACCTCAGTAAAAGCCACATCAATCCATTCTTACTGTATGACACAAGAAAGATGCCCTTACGCCAGGTGTCTGCTACAACTATGGTAGCACTTGGGTCTTCCAGTGTTTATAGAATCCCATTTAGACTTTTGGCATCAAAGGGCCCTTGCTCTCTTCCTCCAGTTCTGAGCCCCAAGTAGACAGTTCCTGGAGTCACTCTTTCTATCCAGCCACAACTGCTTCTTGTGTACCCGTCACTCCAAGGCTGTTCACTCTTAGCACCAAGTATAAGGGAGGTCAGAAGCAGTGTTCCCAAATCTGGTTGCACGTCGCAGTCATCTGGGGGGAACTTTAAATATATATGGAGAGAGAGAGAGAGAGAGGGAGAGAGACTACCTGCTACCCACTCTTGCAGTCCTAGGCGGTCTGCTTCTGTAAGCCTGAGATGGGGTCCGTGGATGACCGGTGGTCAGTCCAGTCTGAGAATCACTGGCCTCGAAGACCAGCTCTCCTTACCCCAAGGTCAAATCCTCTCCTTCATTTCCAGTCTCCCACGCTGTGGTATGATTCAGCCTGCTCTCCTGGGTTCTCCGTCTGCCGCCCACTGCGTTTTCTGGAGGACCACAAAGTCCAGGCCCGAGGCCCGCAGACCTAGTAAGGCCTGCTTGCAAACCCTGGCCAACGGAAGGACAGCCACCCCTGCAGCGGGAGCCTGTCCTTCCCAGACTCCGGAGGGAATGACCGCCTGGCTTCCGAGTGCGCTAACGAGCGCGCACGACTCCTGTGAGCAGTGCTTGCCAGGGCCGCCCCACATGAGATTAAAAACATCATTTTGAAGAATGGATGGTGTATTCCTTTGTGCACGAGTACTTAGATTTCCTCGCCCACCTAGTAATTTAAGAGTTGTTTCTAAGGAAAAAGTAGAGGGGGAGGGTATAGCTCAGAGTAGAATGTGTGCTTAGCGTGCAGAGTCCTGGGTTTTATCCCCAGTACCTTTGTTAAAATAAATAAATAAACCTAATTACCCCCACCAAAACAAAAACAAAAACAAATCTAAAGAAAAGGTAGAGTAAAACAATACGTTAAGATTCCAGGACTCAAAACAACAAGTTTATTCTATAGAGCACAGGAAACTATATTCATTATCTTGTAGTAACCTAGAATGAAAAAGAATATGAAAACGAATATATGTGTGTACATGTGTGACTGAAGCATTGTGCTGTATACCAGAAATTGACACGATGTTGTAAACTGACTATACTGCAATTTAAAAAAATCCTAGATCTAATAAGTGAGTTTACTAAGTTGTAGAGTAGAAAATTAACATAAAAACTAATGTATGTCTGTAGACTAGAAATTAGCAAATGGAAATTTAAATAAATAAAATAGCACATATATAGGATGAATGTATAAAATACTAAGCAATAATTTTGAAATATGAAAGGTCTGAATACTGGACACTACAAAATCTGTCTGAGAGAAACTTTTAAAAGATCTACATAAAATATCCCACATCTGTGGTTTGGAAGACTCAAAAAAAAATTCCAAGATTCAGAGTCCCCCAAAACTAGGACCATGGGGGCAAATTTGGGGAATTTATTTAGAGTTCAGAGGACCAAGGAGGCCAGAAAAGGGCCACAGAACTTTTATCTTCCGCTCTTTTTCTCCATATCGGGGAGAGATTCTTCTCAGCGTTCCAGCTCAGTCCTACCTGAAGCATACTGTTTTGGCAAACCTCAGCGTTAACGATGCTGGTGGTTCTTACAGCGGGTCAACAACCACCTGGGAGACAAGGTCCCTGAGCTGAGCCTCTGTCCTGGGGGCCCCATCAGGGGCGAGGCAGCAGAGTGAAGGCATGATACAGCCTGGCGGGGAGATAACTGACAGCTGACACCCAGCTGCAGGTCAGGGCGAGTTGTGGGTTCTCTAGGCCATGCGGGCATGAATGCCCAGCCAGTGAAACCGGCCCTCTCTGCTCAGCTCCAGCCAGCCGTTGATGAGAAGGTCTGCAGGGTCAGTGTTGCCACCTCTGATGAATTCACAGTAGAAGTCACACACCTGCACACCTTTGTGTGTTATAATTGAATTAACATTTTTTTGAGTTAACATTTTTAACAATCAAATTAAATATTGATGCACTGGGGGGACCAATACACATGGGCCAAATGAAGCTCAGGCAACAGCAGGCCAGATTTGGCCAACAGACCACCACTTTGCGACTTTGTCTGATCTTAGCCATGACGAGTCTGACCCAGAAGCAGCTTCAGCCCCCTGACTGCTCCCCACCGGCTGCAGCGTGAAGTCTGGAGACCAAAGCTCAGCCCACGCAGGTGGGTGGACACAGAGTCTGCGATGGCCAGAGAGGTCTGAGGATGGAGATGGTACACGCGCTATGGACTGACCCCACGCGAGGGACTCAGGCTTTCTGAGACTCAGCTCAAAAATGGGGATTATATATGCCTCCTGGCGTAACGCAGCCAAAAGGACATGGTGTTTCTCTGGTGTTTGTGCCAGAACGCGTGGCTGAATGCAACCACGGAGGAACGTCAGACAAAACCAGATTGAGGGAGATGTTGTAGATTGAACTGTTACTCTTCAAAAATGTTACGATCATGAAAGATAAAGGCAGACTGAGGAACAGGGTCCTACTGTATAGCACAGGGAAATATATTCAGTATCTTGTAATAAGCTAGAATGGAAAAGAATCTGAAACAATACACGTATCATGTGTATGTACTACTGAAACATTATGCTGTACACCAGAAACTGATACAACATTGTACACTGACTATCGTTCAATATAAAAAAAAATCAGAGGGTGGAAAAAAATTGAATGATTTACTAGCAAAATATATATATAAAACTAGATCACTTTGCTGTAGCCCTGAAACATTGTAAATCCAATGTACTTCAGTTAAAAGAAAAAAAAAAAAAGAAAAAAGGCAGACTGAGGATCTATTCCAAATTATAGGAGACAGAAGAGACGGGACCACTAAATGCAAAGCGTGAGTCTGGGCTGGATCCTGGCCCGGGAGGAAAACACAGCTGTGAAAGGGCGTCCTGGGCACGGCTGCCAGAATTAGAACGGAGACCTGTGGATGAGGTGGCCGTGTTGCCTCACTGCTGACTTGCCTGGCTGTGGTATTTGCACTGCTGTGTAGGAGGACGTCCCTGGTCTCGGGAGACACGTTTAGAAGCAGAGGGACGTCACAACGGCAGCTGGTTCTCGGGCCTCAGAGGGGGAATGAAAGCACTTGGGCGGGGAGGTGGGGGTGTAGCTCAGTGGTAGAGCGTGTGCTTAGCATGCACAAGGTCCTGGGTTCAATCCCCAGCACCTCCATTAAAAGAAAACTAAAATTACTGTTCATTATCAGATATGTCTATTTCATTAAAAATAAGAATTTATAAGAAAAGAGACCTGGAAGTACCATCAGACAGACCAGGTTTTAGAATTTAGAAACCTAGGTGAGCATCCATTTTCCTCAAAGATTAAATCCCCAGAGAAAGGACTCACCCAGAACAGTCGTCTGCTGTTGTCCAGAAACACTGAACTCACTTTGATGGATTTTTATCTGAGGCGCTGTGTGCCAGGCACTGTGCTGGGTACAGGGAGGGGGACAAAGATAAATGTTATGTGGTCCCTGGCCTCAAGGAGCTGGACCAAGGTCCCTACAAAGTACTGAGACAAGTGGCCTCCGGGTCCCAGCACAGCTGTGTTGAGTCCCACGGGAACCGGGGGGAGGTTACAGTCACATTCACTTGCCCCGGGGAGAAGGGCTTCCCAGGGCAGAGTCATCTGAGCTGGGCCTGGGAGAGTCAGGAAAAGTCTGTCAAGTGGATAGAGGACGAAGGGGACTCCTAGTGGGGGAAACCCATTTGGTAAGACACAGTGCAGGGCAGTAACGGCCCGCCCTGGCCCGCAGGTGGGTGGATGTGGTCTAGAGGTCAGAGTGGCAGGAGAACAGAACAGAAAGGAAGGTTGGAGAAGGAACACGCAGGGGAGAAGCCGACACTTAGGGAGGGTCTGACAGTGGTGAAACGTAGCCGTTGTCTCCTTGACATTTTCAAGTGACCTTACGACGTAGGCAATATTACCCCCATATTTTATTTTTGCAACGTCTCTTTCTGATTATAATTTCAAACTTAGGGAAAAGTTTCAGGGTCAGTATGACTAACTCCTGTATGTCCAGCCTGACCAACTGTTCACATTAACAGCCTCCAACTGGTTTTTTTTAGTATTTACTTCAGCTTTATAAAAATTTATTTTATTTTATGTGTAGGGGGAGGTAATTCGGTTTGTTTATTTTTAGAGGAGGGGCTGGGGATTGAACCAGGACCTTGTGCATGCTAAGCACATGCTCTGCCTCGGCGGTATTTCCCTCCCCTCGGCACTTTAATCTTGTTAATGTTGGGTACTGGGGTCGTCGCTACTGAAGACTTTCCTCATCATGGTTTTTAAAAGATGGATGCTGGATACGGCAGCAAAACATTAAAATGAACTTTTAATGCAATTTTACTCTGCCATAGCTTTTACCGTGATTTTATATATATTCTTAATTTTAGTTCCCTGGTTTTGCACACATAACTGGCCACAAGAGTTTGACAAGCACAGAGATCATGAGAATCCAGAGGCAGACAGACTTTCTCAAGTGAGTATGACATCTCTTCACCATTTCTTAAGTCCCGCTGAGACACGTTGTGGTCAAAAAGAATTTGAGATCAAAAAGAATTTGTTTGGGACATAACAATGGTGTTTGCCCATCCTCAACTGTTTTTACAAACCACACACAGTAATGACCCTTACTTGAAGAGTACACTTGACTTACACATATAGTCTGGAAACCATCATCACAATCAAGAGAATGTTGTTGCATGTATCAAACGTTTATTTCTTTTCAGTGCTGAGTAGGATTCCATTGTGTGGATACATTCCAGGGTGTTTATCGTGTCTCCTGATGATGGACATCTGGGTAGTTTTCAGCTTTCAGGCGTTACAGATAAAGCAGCTGTGAATGCTTGTGTACAAGTGGTCCTGGGCACGTGTACTTGGATTTCCCTTAGGTGAAAGCTGGGAGAGGAAGGGCTAGTCATATGATAGGTGTGCATTTAACTCTTAAAGAAGATCATCAAACTTTTCCTAAGAGGTTGCACCATTTTACATTCTCATCGGCCATGTATGAGAGTTTCAGTTTCTCTGCATCTTTACTAACACCTTGACTTTTAATTTTGGACTTTTTAGTGAGGTGCTGGTTGTGGTTTTAATTCGCATCTCCCTGGGGGCTGGGGGTGGGGTGGGGTGAAATGGGTGAAGGTGGTCAGAAGGTGCAAACTTCCAGTTGTAGAATAAACAGTCCTGGGGATGTAACGTGCAGCATGGTGACTAGAGGTGATGCTACTGTGTTGTGTATTTCAAAGTTGCTAAGAGAGTAAATCTAAGAAGTTTTCATCACAAGAAAAAAATTCACTGTATTTGGTGATGGACGTTAACTAGACTTAAATTGCAGTGATCATTTTGCAGTATATACAATTACTGAGTCATTTTGTTGTACACCTGCAGTTAACACAATGTTGTATTGCTTAAGTCTTCTCTGTCCTGACTGATTTTGTCTGTTGTTTTATCAGTTATTGAGGAAGTTATACTGAAATCTGTGACTATAATTATGAAGTTGTTTCTTTATCCTTGCATTTCTGCCAGTTCTTGGTCGATGTGCCTGAGGCTCTATTATTTAAACGTGTAAACCTTTTGGATTCTTACGTCCTGTTGCTGAATCGACCCCTTTATCGTTACGAAATAACCTTTTTTAACCTTGATAATATTCTTTGCTCAGAAATCAAATTTGTCTGATATTAACAGCCATTCCTGCTTTCTTTTGATTAGCATTTGCCTGATGTGTATTTTTCACCCTTTTATTTTCAGCCTATTTGTAATTTTCTGTTTAAAGCTGGTTTCTTTTAAGCAGCGTATAATTAGGTCTTGCTTTTTTAAAAAATCAAAAGTCTCTGTCTTTTAATTGGGGTGTTGAGAGTATTTATTTTTATTCTGCTTGTTTTATGTTTGAATTTAAGCCTGCCATCATGCTGTTGTTTTCTGTTTGTCTTATCTGTACTTTGTTGCCCTTTTTTTTTCCTGCTTTCTTTTGGATTAATTGGGTATGTTTCATGGTTCCATTTTATTTTGTGTCCTTTGTTGGCCTATTAGCTGTGTGTTCTGTTTTAGTAGTTGCCGTAGGGTTTGTAATACACATTTTTACCTTATCACAGTCTGTCTGCCAGTGACCCCATGCCGCTTCCTACAGAGCGTGTGTGCTTTATGACAGCGGCTTTCCAGGAACTGCGTAACACAGCCTTTGTGCTTTTGTGGTCATTTATCTGACTTCTACAAATATTGTGAACCCCATAATACTTTATTACTTTTATTTGGTATAATCAATTTTTTACCATACTATATACTTTTATTGTGCTAAAATTTATGTGAATGAAAGTTACCATTTTGACAATTTTTAAGTATACAGTTTAGTGACGTTAAGTACATTCACAATGTTGGGCAACCATCCCCATGATCCATTTCCAGAACTTTTTCGTCATCCTAAACAGAATTCAGTTCCCATTAAACAGTAACTCCTGGTGACCCACTCCCTCCAGCCCCTGGTGACCTCTGTTCTGTTTTCTGTTCCCATGAATTTGCCTGTTCTAGTTACCTCGTGTAAGTGGAGTCAGACAACATTTGTCCCTGTGTGTCTGACTTATTTCACTAGCTTAATATTTTCAAGGTTCATCCATGCTGTAGCATGGATCAGAATTTTATTCCATATTAAAGATAAAAAATATTCCACTGTACGTATACGCCACGTTCATTTCGTTTCTCCATTCACCTGTTGATGGACGTTTGGGTTGTTTCCACCTTCTGACTATTATGAATAACGCTGCTCTGAATACTGGTGTCCAAGTATCTCTTTTTGTTTTTTGAGGTTAATTTTGTCTGTTATTTGCCAGCGTAACTTAACTGCAGTGGCTTGCAAACTTTTTTGACCTAAAGAATACATTTTACATCACAATCCAACACACATACACGTATATAATATATGTACATAACTGAAACCAAAGCTTTGCCCAAATGTTTACCCTGAGTTTTCTTGTTTTTAAGACTTTTTTTTTTAACTAGTTTTAGGTTTACAACAAAATTGACAGGAAGATACAGAAATTTCCCGGACTCCCTCTCCACACATGCTCATAGGTGTTATTTTCATTGACCAGAGTGGTACTTTTTTTTTTAACTAAGTATGAACGTACTTTGACACATCATAATCACCAAAGTCCACAGTCCACCTTAGTTTGGACAAAAGTATCATGACACAGGTCTCCATCGTTGTAATGTCATACAGAGTATTTTCATTGCTCTCCAGAATGGCATGTGGAATCTCTTTTTTCCCTTGAAAAGAGATTCAAAGCCTTCATGTCTACAACACCACTCATGGCCCACCCGCACGTGGACCCGACAGGCTCTAGGTGGCAAACTCCCCCCGCTCAGTACCGTGGCTTTTCTTCCAATACTGAGCTCTGTCCCCCGGGTCCTGCCCAGCAGCCACGTGGAGGTGCAGGGGGACGCGTGGAGGGTATGTGTTCATAGGAAGGCCCGACAGTTTGTGCCCCTCATCATGATGAACCCAGACTCCTGTTGGGTGTGTTGGGAACAGAAAAGCCATTTCTTCAGGCCCCCTGCTCTGAGCACACCCCCAAAAGCGCCTCTTTTAGTTTCTATTTGCAGTTCTTTTGGGTTTTTACCCAGGACTGGAATTTCTGGATTACGTGGTAATTTTTTGTCTGACTTTTTGAGGAACTGCTGCAGTTTTCGTAGCAGCCGCCCTTTCCTCTCCCACAGAAGTACGCAGAGGCTCAGTTTCTCCACATCCTCGCCAGCACTCCCCTTCCGTTTTCCTAACAGTCATCCTAATGGACGGAAAGTGCCTTTCATGTGGGTATGATTTGCATTTCAACGGCAAGTGATGTTGAACATCGTCTTTGGAGTAACAGCCAGTGACTTGACTTGGGTGTTTGTTTTTATTGTTAGTTGCAGGAGTTTTTAATATATTCTGGATGTTGATCCCCTAACAAGATTCACGATTTGCAGAAATTTCCTCCCATCTCTAGGTTGTCTTTTAAATCTCTTGATTGTATTTTTTTGATGAACAGATTTTTATGATGTTCAATTTGTCCATTTCTTTTGTTGCCTGTGCTTTTGGGATCACATCCAAGAAATCATTGCCAAATCCAGCGTCATGAAGCTTTCCCCTTAGGTGTCCTTTTGCGAGATTTATAGATTTACCTCTCACATTTAGGTCTTTGATCCATTTTGAGGTTTTTTTTTTTTTGCTGTTTTTTATTGAAGTATAGTCAGAAGTATAGTTAGTTACGGTGTGTCAGTCTCTGGTGTATATGTCCCAGTCATGCATATACATACATATTCATTTTCATATTCCTTTTCATTAAAGATTATTACAAGACATTGAATATAGTTCCCTGTGCTATACAGAACATTCAAAAAATATTTTGGGGGGTAATTTATGTTTTTATTTATTTGTTTACTTTAATAGAGGTGCTGGGGATTGAACCACGGACCTTGTACATGCTAGGCACGTACTCTACCACTGAGCTATACCCTCCCCCAAGTTAGTTGTTGTATATGGTGTAAGGCAAGGTTCCAGCTTCATTCTTTGCATGTACATAGCCAGTATTCCCAGCACACTGTTTGTGGACTCCAGCACAAAGGCTGGTAACTGTCGAGAGGCCATGGTGGAGACTGGTGTAGGCAACCAAGCCGTCCAGTGCCCTAACATCAGAGCTGCTGAGCAGCAGTCCGGGTGGGTCGGAGGAGCAGGGCCCCCGCCTGCCTGGAGAGGCATGGCGGCAGCAGTGGCAGCCACAGGGAAGCCCAGTCCCAGGGGCCCTGCCGCTCTGGCTGATGTCCAGAACCAAGTAGGTGGGCGAAGGCTAAAGGATCAAGTGCCCAGGAAATGGGGCCGGATGTCGCTGAGGCGGGGCCTCGGGCTCTGCCCAGGTGAGTGAAGACGCAGGCAGGGACCCTGCAGAGCGCCAGGTGAGAGCACCGCCACTCAGCCTGGCCTCAGGGCTCAGGTCGGAAGCCAGAGAAGTTCAGGGGGCCATGACGAGTTCCCAGGGCCGGCCTCACACACGCCCAGTCCGACGTGGGGGGACAAGCCAGCCGCGCTGGGAAGCGGGGCCAGGGCTGCTGGCGGCCGCCTGCTGCGCACAGGCAGTGAGACGCGCCTGGCCTCCGGGTGGCGGGCACCGTGCTTCCAGCTGGGAGGCCACTTGGTGATAAAGTGACTAGAGATGCATCTCGCGTCTTGAGTTTGTTCCATAGCCTTTGAGAGTGTTCTGGTTTCGTTTTATCTTGTGTAGAAAATGTTTGAATGCTCTCAGGTTTTCGCTTGCCTTCTCAACGTGCCCTCACGGCCAGTCGGGAACCTCTTTTGTCGTAGGTGTGCCAACTGCCTCGTGCCCCGCCCATCCGACCCCTTCGCTCGCTTCTGTCTGGAGTGTGGCTCTCCTGTGCCGCCCATATTTGGCTGTCGTCTCCCGCCCCCGGAAGGAGCGCAGGTGAGCAGCAGAATCCTTACATTAAAATCCTTTGGTTCCTCTGGTCTTTGCGGCAGCAGCACCGCGCCTGGCACACGGGAACCACAAGCACAAACGCTTGTTGGAAAGGTTACTGGCAAATGAATCTCTTCCAATCCAGACTCCCACTTCGGACTGAAAAGGCTTGTCTGCAGTGCTCTTGCCTTCATGTGGCCTTGAAGAAGAGTAGGCTCAGAAAAAGACTGAAATCTTTTCATTTCAGTGACGTACGCTCAGATAAATTCATGTGTCCTACTCATAGGACACTTCTGTTCATAACCTGGGGACAATAAGGAAATATATTCTAGAAATAAATGATAAGAAGTCCTAATCACAAGTCTGGGTACCCATGAGATACATCATTCCGCCCAAAAAAGCTGTTTATATAGGCTGTAGATTGATCAGTGTGTCTAAATGGGAAAGTTTTAGCCGAGTGTAGATCATGATCAATACTATTCGGTCTGTAGTTAGTGAGAAAACGTACTTGGCTTACTGCAAAATCAAAACCTTCACCAAAATGTGTTCATCTTTTATGCACTTGACACTCTGGTGTTTTTTGCACTAAGGTTTACAAAATGAAGTGAAAGGACCTGTGGAGCTGACTGGAAAATGACCATTTAAAAAAGACAGCCACCAAGAAAAAGTCACTTATTCAACAATTTCAAAGTCTAGACTTTAAGAATTGAGTTTCGCCTTCAAGCAAAGGGTTAGATAGTAAATGGATATGTTGTAGAAATTCGTTTATTTCTGTGATAGATTTTGAACTCCTTGAAGAAGGTAGCACAGCAAATAAATGTGAGCAGGTCTCACTGGTTTGAGTTTTCCCTGCTTCTATTTGTTGGTATGACGTCAAAGTTAATTTTCACTGGCCTGAGAATAGATTTTTCAGACCTTTCTTTGCTGTTACTGGGAGAAAAGCTTATCAGAGATGATAAGTATTTAAAATGATGAACTTTGAAACACGTATGCTGCTTGTAACTTTATTAACGTGCCCTAATGTGTAACAGCTTGTCACTTAAACTGCTACGTCCTTAACTGTGCCCTGCTCCCCTCTGGGTTTCTGGGATTCAAAGTGGGTGGCTCCTGCTTCTGGGATCTCAGACCCAGGACACTCAGCAGAGATGCAGAGGTGTGCCTGTCAGCTCCAGATTCTCTCTCCATCATCCTGCCTTGTGGTGCTGGAACTGGACCTGCAAGCGTTTCTCCCTTACCAGCTGGCCCGAGGTTCATTTCTGTCAGGAGAGGCACATCGCTGTGGAGGGCACGGCAGGAGCATGGGCTTGGCTCCTCCTGTTTCTGGCATGCTTCCCCTTCTCTTTGCTCTGAGGGTGCTCGGCTAACCTGCAGGTCACCTAATTGTGCTGGACCCCGTGAACTGCTTCTCAGGATGCTGTGGGGTCCACGGGTACCCCACCAGCTTCCAGACAGTCTCCCGGTGGGCGGTTTCCTGGCAAGTTTCAGCAGCAGCCCTGCCAGCCCCCCAGAGGGAGATTCCTGATGAGTTTCGTAGGACCCCCGGGTCGCGTTCTGCCTGCAGCTCTGTCTGTGTCACCCCAGTGAATGTCTCTGCCAACC